TGTTTTTACCTGAACCATCAAAAGGTCTAAATGTTGCACTTCTTGACCATACAATTTGTCTAGTTTCTCTTCTTATCATAAGAGTCTTTTTCTCTGGTCTTTTTCTTGAAAAAAATTTTGTTACTACAGTTCCCCTTTCAAGTTGACTGATGATTTGTTCCATTTCAGGTATTATACCATTCATGTTTAAGATATTATAGGTTTTCTATAAAAAAAATCATACATATTTTATATGAGTAGATTTTATACATGACTTATAAAATCAAAAAAATTTGATGCAATAATAATTTGAAATGAAAAAATTAAGAAAAATTTTAAGAAGTTCTATTAATTTGTAAGTTCAAATTTAGATATAATTATTTCTAAAAACCTTATTGCAATCTAAATTTTAAATTAACATAGTTTCTGTTATATTTTAAATTATAATATAAATATTATATTAATTTAACTATGTTGTAATATAATGTTGTAATGTACATAAACTACTTTAATTCTTTAGTTTTGTGAATAAAACATAAAATTATCTATATGTTATGAATATACATATATATATATATATATATAAATTTAAATAGTTTTTAAATAACTACAATATTACAACATATGTAAATAAATAACATGTATATAAAACATAAAAAACTTTATTTTTTATATATTTTATTTTATACAGATAATTTGTAATTGTAACATATTATTTCTAAATATGTAATCAAGAAAAAAATAATTTTTTTTAGTTATTTTAATATGTGTATGAGTACATTTATACTTGTTGCTTCTTGCCATACGTGTATTTCTTACAATTTATTTATATTTTCTTTAAACATACTAATTTATGTTTTTAAAATATAAAATTACAAAATACTAAAATATAAAATTTATAAAGTTTTTAAAATATAAAATATAAAATACTAATTTTAAATAAATAATTTCCTTTATTATATTATTATATAAACTTGAGATTTGTTAAATAATATAAACATAACCTACTACAAAATTCATTTAAATTTTATATCATACTCTAATAAATAAATTTAAAAATGAAAAATATTCATTCGTTAAATATACGAGGATGTTGATATTATTATAAAATATAATATTTAAAAAAACGCGATTGTTCTTAATAGTGTAACATAAAATACATAATATTTATTTTGCATATATGTTTTATATTATGTTTTTTTATAAACCTTTATTGTTTTTCTACCTTATGTTACACACTTAAGGATTTATCCTACCTGAGGTTAGAAATAATATTTTTTTAATTCATTAACTAAGAATAAAGTAGATATGACATTATATAGTATTTTGTGCCTTTCATTCTAGAATACCAACCTCAACAAAAAATTAGTGTTTTCTGCGATTTGTTGTGGTGAACGTAAGATCTATGTGATTGGTCATAACCACGGACTAGATGCACGATAGACCTAACTCTTGTAAGACTTGATGTATCACGTGATCAATATAATTTAAAACATCGCTTCTATAAAGTGTAAAAAATTGAAAATTTTATCATGTTTTTTATAATTTAAAGCGGCGAACGTGGAAATTATGTTCAAACGAATGACCAATAAATATCATGGTGAAATTATTAACTAAATCAATAATAAAGTTATATAATATTTATTTTATCATATTTCTATATAAACGTATAATGTTTTAGAATATGAAACGTTTTGACAACAGTATATTTCACAAAATTAATCCTCTTAAAATTTGTTCAAATTATGAACACTAGCACCACATTTAGTAACTAAATAATGGAATTAACTTCCTTATGATGAAATTAAAAAATTTTATCTATAAACCAAAAGATTTAGTTTTGAATTATTCAATTTTCATTCTCAAAAACTAATATCTGTATGATTTTATTCCAAATTTCTATATATTTGATTAATTGTTTGTAATCGGTACTTTATTTCAACGTAATGGCGCTACTATCAGTGAAATACATAGGTACTATTAAATTTAAATATTTATTTTAACATCTTATGCATTTTATGGGTTAAATGGAATATAGAAAGGAAATTTAAAATTTAATTAAAAACATACAATTAAGAAAGTGCACAAGTTAATCCTTTTATTAGGTTTTTTTTTGTATGAAAATTTGTTTGATTTATGATATATATACATATATATACAGATTACATTTAAGAGAAGAGAAATGCTTAGATTTTAAAGAATTCTTTTGAAGCTTTATAAAATTTATTATCAACTTTATGGAGCTATATCACCTAAATCTAAAAAATTCTTTTAAAGAAGAACCAAGAGATGTAAAGAATTCACTAATGGATTTGAGTGTTGATGACTCTTGTTTAAAATTTGCGGACTGGATAGGAGAACATACTTTACTGTGTTCTGTAAAATATACATTCTCCTTATCTGCAATTTTCTGTAATGAAATTGTATACAAATTATCATTACATGTACATATTTTTATATCTATATTAATTTATAAAACTTACTTACATAATTAATTTTTTGTTCATAAGATTTAACGTATTTAGAATCATCATTATTTTTAAATCTTTTAAATCTTTTTAAAAGTATCAAACAATTATCAGATTGTATATCTATATCTGATTCATTGTCTTTTTTCAGATACATAATTTTTGATGCATCTAGATTAATCTGTTGATTTAATATTCTTTTAGAATTTTATAATAATTTTAAAATTATTATACACACCTCAGTCTCTTTGTCTAATCTCTTCCTTTTACCAGCAATTATTGGTACATTTTCAGATGGAAATAAATTAAGGTCATTATGCCTTAATGGTTTTCTTGAACTACTATCCTTTCTTAATGTTTGTCTACATTCTACGTACTAAAATAAAAAGATAATGTAGATAAGTTGTTAAATGTAATATTCAAAAGCTAAATAACAAAAGCTTCTTTTAATAATACCTTCTTTATAGAATTTTGTATTGCTGCTATCCATAAATTGCTATCATCTTTCTCAGAATAAAGTAAAAGTGTTTCATTTAAACAAGTAACACGAAATAATCCACCACTCAAAACAGACTCAATTTTACACTTATTTAATGGCAATACACAACATATAGTTAATGAATTTTGTGGGTCACCCTTACAATATAATAAAATGTCATTTAAAAGAACAAAATATCTTCTATATGCAGAATTTCCTCGTCTGGAGACTCTCATTAATGCTCCTTCCTTAATTAATTTTCTACCAGGTTTTACCAAATTAATTGGATTTACAATACATTTTTGAAGTTTTAATAGTTTTTGTGATTCCTCGTATTGTTCAATGAAGGTATTTATATGCCTTGCAGCTTTTTCTACTTCTACCAAACATACTGTAAAACAATTAATTCATTTGGTATATAATAGTTTTTATGACATTATTTTACAATTATGCTGCAAATGTTATTTTATAATTACCTTGTAAAAGATTATATTCTTTATGTTTGTTACATGTATGTTGCAAAACTTCTCTTAAAAGTAATTTGTATCTAGGTACCCTTTGTATTGGTGTAATTAATAGTGAAGGTAATTTTCTACCAACTTCTGGTCTTGTTTCTTGTTTATTAACAAAATCTTTAAATTCACAATCATTTTCTTGTTTAGTCTGTAACAAAAAGTTATATACAGAGTAGTACTTTTTAATTAATTAACTTATTAACATATTAATGTATTAACAAGTACCTGTAGCAGTGATAAAATTTGTTCATAATCATAGGCATAAACAGAATATAATTTAAAAAAGGGTGCAAGTTTGTGAAATGCATCTGCAATATTTTCTGAATTCTGTTTCAGTTCTTTTATTAACTCTCCACTAACATTATATAATGTTTTTATGTTATCAGACAGTGATGAAAGTAAACTATGATTTAACAGTTTTCTTTCTATAATAGGTTGTATAAAATACTGAAAAAAGTATAGTAGTAGTATATATAGATAAGTATATATAGATAAGTATATATACGTTTATATATGTTTTTTCTTAATATTACTATTACAATATTTATAAATGTTACCAAATATCTGTAAATATATAAATAATACCTCCATCAAGATTTCTAATTGCCTTAAATATGTAACTTCAGTTGTTAAAATTTCTTGAATGGCTTGGAATCTTAAATTTCTTTCCTTTTCCTCATATTGCTTTTGATTATTTTCATTTAAGTTGTTGAGAACTGAAAGCACAATATTTTACATTTTATGTTTTACAATTATCCAATAAAACCATACATTATTAATGATATACCTTTCATACGACTACGAATACTTAGGACATTTCTATCGTTAATAATTTTTTTCAGTTCAGAACTGAGAGGTGTTTGCGGTGATCCGGGAGAATTCATAATTGCACAGGATGCAACAATTGATAATATTATGAAATAATGTTTTTTATCTTCACTACGTTATATCTTGAATATATTATAATTTATTCGTATGAATTTGTATATGTACGTTATTAACTTCATACGATTCCACAATATATTATATTTGTCAAAATTTAAAACTTGATAATTTCTGTAATGATTTATATCATCAATATTTTGTTCGAATTAAAAATTAATGTATAAATGTATTTTGTACTATTGGTTGAGCCGTTTTGACTGATCAACAATAGTTTCAGTAAGAATTAGTAGAAGATAAAAATTTTCAAATTAGGGAGTTTTTAGACGTGTGCTGTAATGTTGGTCACATTGTAATACTTGGAGACTTATATACAAGTTGTGGAATATCAAAACATATGATGATGAAGTGACAATTTGATGAGAATCAAATACTTGCAAGCTGTATTCTTACAAATCTATTATTACCTGTAGTGACACACGAGAGAACAATAAAACGTCAGAAGTATAACGTTATAGTATAACATTCACCTCTTAAAGAAGGTACGATATGATTGATTTGTACGTATAAAAAGTTACGAATTCATGTGCCAGCTGTGAAATGTCATGTCCGGTGAATAATAATTAATTTAAAAAGATATATATATATATATTTATAAAAAACACAAAATGCATAATGTTATTTAAATCTGCTTTTGATACGTAATTATTGTCATTTTTAAAATGATTTAATTATGTAACAAAATATATTGTTGATACGTTTACGTATTTTCTTAATTAACAAATATTTGGCTGATATTACGATATAAGTAGAAATAAATTTTGTATATAAATTGTGTTGATATTCATTATTTGTATTGGACAGATACAATTGCCAAATAGGTTATGATGTATGCAGAACTTGTGTTATAGGTTATGTTTTACATCAGTTAGAGTCGAAATTATTAATAATAAATTTAATATATAAGATTTATGATGTACAAATGAAATATCATTTTCTGTACATTTTATAGTATGCAAATAGGTTAATTATAAAATAAAATACTAAAGAATAAGATAAAATACTAAAGAAAATTTTATTTTATTTTATTTTAAATTATGATAAACTTCATCAATTCAATCGCATAGATGAAACAAGCTTTTAATAATATATTATTCAATAATATATTATTTATTTTAACTGTGTGTATGATTTAATATTAGAATATTTCTGAATCAAAATTTGTTTGTCTGGTAAAATATATACTCAATAACAAATGTAATAAATGTAATAAAATATACAAACATATGTAACAATATATGATATCTTTGATCTAATTATCTTTGATTTGATTATTATTATTGTTTGTTCCAGGATACTTAACAATTTATTCTAATTTGGAAATGTATAATGTATACAACATATATAAATACTTTTTAAGATATTTCATACATGGATATTGTATGAATAAAAATTACTAGCTATTACATCATCCACTAAATACAAATATTATATAATATTTAAAATGCCACAAGTGGATGGTGCTACAATACCAATAACAAATAATCAGAACAGTGCAGCTGTGCATAATCTTAATATAAGTAGTTCAACTGAATCAGCCTTAAACAATAACAATATGAATACTGCGAGGAATAACAATAATCAGAACCCATTAGTTAATGTAAGGGATAGATTGTTTCATGCAATATTTATTAAGGCTGCATTAACTTATGCAAGAACATTTCCAAGGCCTTTGAGAAGATTTCTAGAATTTGTAGTCCTACTGAAGGTAATTATGATTTAGAATCAATATATTTATTATTATATATATATTAAAATATATTAAAATATATTATATATTAAAATATATATTAAAATATATAATATATTAAAATATATTATATATTAAAATATATTATATTAAAATATTAATATATATTAAAATATTATATATAAATAGTAATTTTAAATTATGTATTTGCAGGCTATAGCAGCATTTTTTGTGTTGGCTTATATTCATATAGTTTTTTCACGAACACCAACTAATTGTTTAGAACATATAAGAGATGATTGGCCACGTGATGGTATATTAAGAGTTGAGATACTTAGAAACGGGGGAGAAGATTACAATATAGAAAAGAGTTATGCAAAAGAAGAAAAATTACGACAAGAAAAAGTTGATGATTTAACTAGTGCTTTAGGAATATTAACTAGAGATGGGTAAAGAAAGATACAATGTGTGAAAAAATAACCTATTATTATTATATTATAATTGTATATAACTTTACTTTCTTATTTTATCTTGTAGATTTATCAACATTGAACCATCTGCTGTTGATGAAGAACGTGATATCACTAATGCGTCGAATGAAGAAAATCATGACAGCTTAACATTATCAGAGAAAGAAATAGTTAGAAGTGCTACCATTTCTGGAGATAGACAAGATCCAAATTTAAGCATTACTAATACTACAACAAGTCCATCCTTATCTACTAAGTTCTGGAATGAAATGAATATAGATAATAAAGAAGTAAATAATAAATTATATAATATAATAACAAAACATTTTATATTACATGCGATGTTTAATATTAAGTTGTATTTAAAATGTGTGTAAAATAATATTTCAGGTATCAAATGAAAAGATATTAACAAATGCAGGGAATAATACCGTAGTGCAGGATACAAATAAATCTAATAAAGAAGACGTTATTCAACCTTTAAAGGATCCAAATTCTGAAGTTAGGCCAGGTACAGTTATATCATATACCTTAAAGAATTTAAAATTAAAAATATTAATTATTATTCCATATTTTATCGATAAATTACTTTTTTAGGTGATGGTTATATCGTAGAATATTCGTTAGAATATGGTTTCCTGAGACTATCACCTGTAGCACGGCAAAGATTAAACATTCCTGTAAAAATCGTTACTTTGGATCCTGTTAACGATAAATGCTTTGGCGATGACTTCTCAAGATTAATACTTGATGAACTCTTAGGATACGACGATCTATTGATGGCAAGTATCAAGACACTGGCGGAGCATGAAGATAATCAAGGGTTTCTACGGTAAATAAATTTGAATTTATTTCTCATTGCTTGCATCATTTAATGCTACAATTGTAATATTATATATTAATTTTATTGTATAGAAACGTAGTGACTGGAGAACATTATCGATTTGTAAACATGTGGATGGCTAGAACTACATACCTTGCTGCATTTTTCATCATGTTAGTTTTTGTAAGTACTTGTCTTCTTTTTCTTTTTTCCTTTTTTTCCAATAATTCGAACAATCGAGAAAAGTAGAATTAAAATTCTTTTCTTTTTTTTCTTTTTATATGAGATTAAATATTTGATATTATGTGTAAAATAAATTTTTTATCAATTCAAATATTAATATACATGATTCATTTTTTAAAGATCTTTTTACACCCTTTGCGTTGAAAAAAAATTACATTATTTATACTGCGACGTGCACGTTATGGTAGCATAATATTACAATGTGATAATCATAGCTCCAGAATTTTCTGAAAGTGTAAATTAGATTTAGTTTCGTGTGCTACGTGTTTCCGATCTGGATATATTCCTCTCCGTCAAGGGGTTGGTGTCACACGTATCCACACGACAACCCAGTACGTGTAAAAGGATATGGCAATCAATTTAAAGTAACCACGCACTGAGGTAACCCGTGTATAACTCTCCAACCACCTGTACCCTTACATCCTGTGATCCCCTTGGAATTGAACCGTCAGATATAAATCAACGTTATTAGAGGTATCATATTCGTTACAGAAACCCCAAGTCAGTAATTTTGTATCAAATTGTTCTCGAATATGTTTTACTGCAATCGGCAAGAAACAATCGTTAGAAATTTGAACTTTGAATCGATTTAAATGAAACTTATAGAAACTTCACAATTAAACTTACAGCTAATTTTTTCTCTCTTTTTCCTTTCTTCTTTTCTTGTCGAAACAAATATTAGCTTGCACGATTCTTGATTGTATTTAGTAATTGAATAAGCAACGTCATGTCAATATTGTGCAAGTTGTAATATAAATAATGTAATTTTGTCGAACACTGTATTCCAATATAAATAGTACGCATGTCTGATGGGTCATGAAATTTCGGGGTATTCCCCGGATGTTAGGAAGTGATTGGATCATATACGGACCAACGAATAACTCCACTCGTGTTTAATGGGTTTACGCCGAGCGAACAAATGAGTAATATTGCATACTACTAACCATGATTCAAATGCAATGCATTGTGCGGCGGTCTACATCTAGTTCATATCTAGGTATTCACGATGGATATAGTGAAAAGCCAATTATTCCACGCATGAATAATTTGAGTAGAAGAAATGTTCAAATATGAACTAATAGAATATTTGCGGGATTTATTCGTTATTCGAAATGAATTTTACACAAGTATAGATACATTGGTTGAACGTGACAAATACAGATATATTAAATTACCTGATCTTCTTTTCCTTCATTAAATTTCATGCAATTGACTTCATCTTATAGTTTCAGTTTTACCATTTTGTAAATGACGATTTTAAATTTCTACAACTGGCAGCAGAGCTATAATTCGGTTTTATAATCACAATTTCCACTTGGAAAATTAGCAATTCAATGACGACGATTTAGTCAAATAGAATTTATTAAAAATGTCATTATTTCATCACGTTCCAAATGAAATACAGTCTCCTTTGTTTTCGATAAGAGTCATTGTAGTATTTCGCGTAAAATATTAAAAACGTATGGGACGTATTCTGTGATTAAGATAGAAGATAGATGAATCCCGTGCCGTAACACGTGAGTGTTACTTCAGTGCTTGGTGTACCACCTGGAACCACCCTCGGTAAACCCACCTTAAAGTCACGTGTACAGGACTGTCGTCATCTATGTATTATTTCGTATCTTCTCTGTCATATGCACACAAGATCGGTATATATATATATTCCACGTTACACACATATATGTATATAGTTGCTTCAAAGTCTTTTTTTTCCGCTTTTTCCTTTTGATTGATTGTGCATTTCTTTTCTCGTAAAAGAAACGTAATAAGCTTACTAACGTGTGTATA